TTTCAATTAATTTTAATGAGTCAATTTTGAGTCAATCACGAGCCAAACACAAACAAGAATATTCAAATTGATCTGAACACAAACGCATAGTTCACGAGCCGATTTCGAAAACGAGTCAAGTCTGAGCATGCTCAACCTCGGCTCTTTTACATCTCTGGTTGTATAAATACAAACAATACAACAAAATCAGCATGTATGTACTCCACGCTTAGTTCTTGCTCCTCTTCCAAGTCCAGGTCCCTTGAATGAAGAGATTGAATGTCTATTTATAGATTTTGTGAGTGACATGCTTTACAAATATTGTATGAATTAAAATTGCTCCATCGGACGGCCCAGAATATTTGTTCGATTGGAGGATGTTATATGAGCATTTAAGTGTCTTAAAGATATGAAAAATGAGTGATGTTAGGCTCGTTGGAATCATCTCATCAAGACTTTCAATTTGACTATAAATTTGTTAGATTTGACTATAAATAAATGAATCATAGACAGACAACTGACAAAAATAAACTAGTAATTGTAATTAAAGAGATACTAATTTGAAATTAAGATATTAACTTATGATACACATTATCTCTAATTATTTGGAATTAATGATCATTTCTCCAACAAATCATAGAAATTTCTTGGTGACACATCGTAGGAAGAAATTTCTATCATCAGACACGAATCTCAATGTGCTTTGGTAGGAGATCTTCAAAGTCTGAATTCAGGATCATCAAAGCTCTGATTTCAACAAATTTATAGTTAAACTGAGCACCTCGATAATAAAACCAAAATGACACTGAAAGTGATCCAATGTGAGTCCAAAAAAGCCTTGGTCAAGCATTTAAAGCGTTATATAAAACTTTGGTGCATTAATTTTAGCATTGAATTATCTCTAAATTTGGCATGTTTATTATCAAATCAAGTGGCTCGATTAGAGAAATTTAACTAGCCCAAATTCATTTAATTATAGGGTTATTGATCTTTAGGGCACTTGAACTCCACAAAAATATATTATGATAAAAGGAAAATTCAACACAGACGGTCCAACGAAGTGTTTTAGAAGGTTCATTGGCCAAATTTACAAAAATGCCCCACTCAAAAAGTAATAGTAACCATGACTTTTATAACTTTAAATTAATAGTAGTAAGTAACTACAGTCGTTATAGCTAAAATATAATTATATTAGATTACATTATATTATTATTATTATTATTATTATTATTTTA